TAACCTGAAGATAAGTTCAGACAATATTTTTAGTGCACCTGAGACTTGTCACATGAGGTCAAGTGTAGAATTTTCTGCTTGAGGAGTGGGCTGGGGATGTGGCTCAGTGGTAGAGCATTTGCCTAGAATAAATGAAGACCCCTATACTGGAAAAAAAAAAGCATTTCCCATTTGCAACATCATGTCAGCTCTCAAAAAAGTTTCAGATTTTGGAGCATTATAGATTTTGGGTTTTCAGATCAAGGATGATCAACCTGTCTTTATATTATGTATTCATCACGTTGTTATTTTTTTTCCTATGCTGGAATCTGAGCTCTGTGGTAGCAAGATTTTCTTTTCTTATTACCAGCCCCTAGTATAGTATTTGTCTGTTACTGTCTACTAAATAATGAAATGAAGGCATTCTGATCAATATACTGTGACTTGGGGCCAGGGATATAGCTCAGCAGCATAAGCGCCTGCCTGGCAAGGGCAAGGTCCTGAGCTCGATTCCCTGTACCCAATCAATCAATCAATACATACATACATACATAAATATAGTGACTCTAGCATGCTTAGACATTGCTGGTAGCATTTTCAGCTGATACCATCATTTTGGAAAGCAATTTTACAAACTTTTTTTTGGTAGGTGAAGATGCCTTTTAGCATTGGCTTGTGGTTTTAAAGTCCTTGCTTTGACTTCAGCTTTAGGAAGGGCAAGAGCTTCTTTCTTCCTTTGGCACCATCTTGATGGAAAGATCCCATGTCAGGTCTCAAATCTTCTACCCTTGTCCCACGATGGCTCTCTACTGGCAGTTCTCCAACTAAAATGTGCGTAAAACCCATCTGGAAAGAACTCACTAAAATGCAGAGCTTAAGTTTGGAAAGGGCTCCCAGCTTGAGTCCAATGCTTCTGGTCTGGCACCTCCCTTGGAACATGACTTTAGGGACTTCCACACCCCTATGGCAGTGGTAAAAAGAACTGGGGCTCCCCAAAGACATTTGGATATTCCAAGAAAAGGTTACTTCATGGAAGTCACTGCTTCTTCCAGTGGATTATGGACTCACGTGGAGATGGCCTACAACACTAGCCTGGAAGCTACCAAGTTTTGGCATTCCAGGGAATCTGAAGCCTCTACTGGGTTGATTCTGAAGTACCTGGCTTTAGGAGCGTAAGGTATAGAGGAGGATGGGAGGTGCATTCTGTTCATCACCTTGAAGCCCACTTCTTGGGGAACTCAGGAGTGCTGAGGATTCCTGGACACTGTAATAGAATACCCAATCTCCCAGCCCCTGAGGCAGAGTGCTTTTAAAATAACCTCAACTGAGTAATTTCTTGTGCGTTTATTTGGAAGCCCATTGACAGGGCTTTGTTACCTGGCAAAGTGTGGCTCTCAAGATCAACTGATGGAATTAACATTTTTTTAAAAAAATAATGTTGGGCTGGTTTTTATTTTTGTTGTTGTTCTTCCCAAATAGAAGTTATTATTTTGGGATATTATTTTGGTTTTTTTGTTTGTTTGTTTGTTTGTTTGGGGTTTTTTGTCTTTTTTGGAGACAAGGTCTCACTATGCAGTTGAGGCTGGCCTCAAATTCACAATAACGTTCCTGCCTCAGCCTCCCAAGTGCTGGGATTACAGGAGTATGCCACCATGCCCAGCTTATTTTGGGATATTATTATTATTATTTTGGGACAGAAAATAAGGAATCACCAAACAGAATAAACTAGTTTTCATTTTTCTTGTGGCCTTTGGTGCCATCCCAGCACAATTAAACTTGAATAAATGGGAGCTGAAGGCAGATGTCAATAGCTTTAAAAGCTCCCCATTTTCTAATATACTTAAGAAACTCTAAGAAAAATTTTCCTCTGAAATAGAAATCGCACTCCACGTTTTTAAGAATCATTTAAAAATTAAGTGAAAAAAAGCAAGCGTCAGAGTGGTGTGATCTCACTGTGATGGAGTACAACTGTTTTTAATATTCCTAGGAAAAGGTTGGAAAACTGTTACTAAAATTGAAACTGTAGAATTCCTGAGTGATGGAATTAGGGATGAGTTGTACTTCCTTTTTTGCTTCTCTTTTCCAATCCACCTAGCAATGAATGTGTATTGGTCATTGAAGAAAGAAAGATACTGCCAGCCAGGCATAGGAATACATACCTGTAACCCCAGCTCTCTGGGAGGCTGCAAGTTTGCACTGCCCAGTACTAATGCTCAGTTACTGTTCACCACAGCTGATTTCTCAATATACATTTTTGTATCAACTGTATGCACATTCAGGATCCTCCAAATTTTAAGATAGTAACAGTAAGGCTGGATGTGGTGGCACACGCCTGTAATCCCAGCACTTGGTAGGCTGAGGCAGGAAGATTGCTCCAAGTTTGAGGCCAGCTTGGGTTCAAGGCTAGGCAGAACAGCATAGTGAAACCCTGTCTTGAAATGACCAAAAAAACCCACTAAATTTCACAAGGAAATTGGGGTTCAGGAATTAAGAGGGTTTTTTTGTTTTTTGGTTTTTTTTTTTGGTACTGGGAATCAAACTCATGACCTCTGGCTTGCCAGACAAGTGCCTATGCCACTGAGCTATATCCCCGGCCCAAGAGTTTGTTTCATCTGATACAGGTACTATAATTTAACAAACAAGCTGAGGTGAGGTGGCACATGCTTATAATCCCAGCACCCTGCAAAGCTGAGGCAGGAGGACCATTCAGTTTGGGCCCAACCTGGACAACTTAGCGAGATTCTGTTTCAAAATTTAAAAATGGACTTGGGAGGCTGAGGCAGGAGGATCATTGCAAGTTCAAAACCAGCTTGTGCAACAAAATGAGCTTAAGGCCAGCCTCAACTGCATAGCAAGACTGTCCCAAAAAGACAAAAAAAAAAAAAAAAAAAAAAAATTAAAACAGGAACATAGCTAGTGCAGAAGTCCTATATTCATTCCCCAGTAATCCCTTACACACACACATCCAAAACCCTTATCAAAAAGTTGGTATAACTCTATCACAAAATATGATATTTTGGCTGAGGATAAGGGGCAGGACTAGGGCTTGAACCTAGAGTCTTTGCATTGAGTTATATCCCCAGTTGCTTTTTTTTCTTTTTTGAGACAAGGTCTTGCCAAGTCACTAAATTGCCCTGGGTGGGCTTTAAATTGTGATCCTCCTGCTTTAGCCTCACATAGTGCTGTGATTACAGGGGTACACCACACCAGGTCAAATATTTTATGCAGTTAAGACAATTTAGGTTATACTATCATTCCATAATATTTAAGACTTTGTTAAAACTAAGAAGATAGTAGTAAAGTTCTCCAGTGCCAAGTGACCAGTATCTTTTTTTTTTTTTTTGACCAGTATCTCTTCTTCTGAACATCTAAAGTGGGCCAAATGTAACCATGTATTGTCAGTGTTTACAAGGGAAAGGATTTAATACAGGACACATAATTTATAGGATTATTTTGCAATATTCATCCAAAGAGACAAATACAAAAGAGTACAGATTTGTTCACACGTTAGAGATCCAAAACATCCAGCTAAGGATCTGGATCCCATGGCAATGTGCTGCACGAGTCCAGGTGAAGACCTAGAGCCCATGGCAGTGTCCTACATGAGTCCAACTGGAGGCCTAGAGCCCACGACAATGTTTCATGGAAGCCTGTTTCACAGATCTGTGCTGGGAAGGCCCAAACAGTGGTGGAAGCTAGAAAGTCTGAGCCAGTGGGCTGAAGGATCTGCACTGCAGCCAGGAAACTACTCTCAAAATAAGGACCAGAGCTCCCCCAAGAGAACCACAGCCATCCTCAGCAACAGTGAGGACCCGAGATCCTCTGATGATAACAGCAGAGCTCATAACAGGAAAACCAGCATATCAGGCTTCTCCAGGAGAATCAACACACACCATCGTCCCCTCTAGTTCTCTTTTTCTGTTGTTGGCAAAAACCCTCAGGTGGGCCTTCCACACCCAACACCATGCTGATTAGTCAGCTAGATGTTACAAGTTGACCATCAGTTAAACCACCACACTATGCCAATCAGATTTCAAGTATCAGAGCTAAATGGCTAAAGGTGTTCTTTCTATGGCCACAAGGTCTGATCATTCTTAATAGTGTCTGAAGGATATGTAACATGTTGCCTGCACACAACTCTTAAAACATAATAGCTAATACAGATTTCCTTCACTCAACACTCCTTACAGTCCCTGCTTAATAGTTTTCTCCCTATCTTATCAACACTTAGATTCTAAGAAAAGTTTTCCCTCAGTTCATGTTCAATATAAAAGGAAGCAGGTGAAAAATGCTGGAGGCATACTAAAAATTGACCTAGCCATGACTAAAATGAAAGATTCAGTAAGACGTCAGTATACCTGTGGAAATTTCCAGATTTAGTAATGCATGTTTAAGTGAATTAAAATACACATAAATGCTTTTTTTTTTTTTTGGTACCGGGAATCAAACTCAGGACCTTGCACTTGCCAGGCAGGCACTTGTACCACTAAGCCATATCCCCGGCCCTTTTTTTTGGGTTGGGTTTTTTTTTTTTTTTGGTGCACATAAATGTTTTGATTATGCATACCAAAAGGAAGCAGGTAAACTAGGTTTGATGTGATTTCCACATACCAAAGTTCTTTTTTTATTGTTGGAAATTTTCCATCAACATCCTATCACAAAGACCCTATTTTCAGGAAGGGAAGCAGAGTTCCTCTGTTTACTGTCTTTTCTTCTAATCAATCATACAACTGTGTGGAATATATTTTTAACCTAATACACTGCTTCCCACAAGGCTGACTGCTTCTATCTGTTCATACTTTTCTTCAGTTTAATAAGGATTCTCATAGAGAACAAGGTAAATGTAGTTTTTAAAACACTGAAGCCAGGCATGGAAAAGGAAAAGGCTCACTGTTTCCTGTCTGACACACCATGAACTGTTTTTCCTCTGCCATGCTCCTCTGCCTTAAAACCAGCCAATTGTGAACTGAAACCTCTACAAACTGTAAGCCAAAATAAACCTTTCTTCCTTTGACTTGTAGGTGCTGGGCATTTTGTTTTGTTCCAACAAGGAGAAAGTAACTAAGACAATCAGACTGCCAAATGACATGAGAAAAGATCACTGGCTTAGCTAGATTTAGAGCATATGGGTAAGAATGTAACATTTCTTTCTCTTTTTTTTGCCTCTAACAGCAATCTTCCTGGTTCACCCTCCTGGGATTGCAGGCACCCAACAACACATCCAGCTATATTTACTTCTATTAATGTAGATTCTGACTGCATTTCCTGTATGTTTTAACTACTATAATATGTATATTCTACAAACATATATTCAGAGCTTCTTATGATAGAGGAATTTATGAAATGCAACATCCAAGTTTTACAATCTTACTCCCAAGATAATCACTATGATTGTGGGCATTTTTTTCTGCAACTGGCTACACATATACATGTTTGCCACCATCTCATTTTGCCCTGATTTCTTAATAAATAAAAGAATACCTGCCTTCATAGGAAAAATGCAACCAATAAAATTTGAAAAAGGAAGAACTTTAGATGCAAAGCATCATCTACCATCCCCATTTAGTTGCTTCTAACTCTCTGCAATGAAATGAAAATGGTAGTTTATGTTCATATCTTCTTCACCAATAGAAGCTGGTTGGGGCACACATATTATTTGTGAGACATAAATATTGCTGAAGTTTTCACCCTGGCCTATTTAAACAATCAGTACAATTTCTATTTGAATTAAAATGATATTCATATCTCAAAACTCCACAATCATTAATAGGTGCAAGTAACATAAGCATATAGGTTACTCTGATAATTTAAAGGCAAATTTTATTATATTTTTTAAATTTCTGGCTTTGTGAGACATGTTCTCACTATGTAGTTCAGGCCGGCCTTGGACTCACTATGTAGTCCAAGCTGGGTTCGAACTCAAAGCAATCTTCCTGCTTCTGTCTCTCAAGTGCTGGGATTATAGGAATATGCCACTATACCTGGCTCTCATAAGATTTTTAATGTATTAAAAAGGTAATAAAGGGCTGGAGATGCACCTCAGTGGTAGGGTGCTTGCCTAGAATGCACAAGACCCTTGTTACAATTTCCAGTAACACACACACACACACAAAAGGTAAGAGAAACATTTATATTTTCATAAAAGATAATAAAAGCCAAATTACCAAATTACGGCTAAATGTAAGCATTTTTTTTTAAACAACAAAATCAGTTCAGGGGTTTTATCTGAACAAATGATCTCACAGTCTTTCCCACAACATGCTTCTAAGGAATCCTCGAAATAGTCAAATTAAGATACTGAATAGGGATAGCTTTTCACGTTTGATTCTTGTAATTCCCAAGTGTCCAATATCTAATATTTTCACTTCTGGGTAAGAGAAAAAGCATTTTGGTCCATTAATTCACCTACTCGCTCCTGCAGGACATTAACCAACTCTGCTATTACGAAGACGTGAGTGTCATCGATATCTTGAATGATGAATTTTTTCCCTAGGGCATTGGATTCATCCAAGTACAGCAGAAACTGTTTCATAGCAGGATCACTGTAGAATTAAACACACAATTACAAGACATCTTGTGGTTAAACCACACCACAAAGACTTAGGCAATTATGTTTGAGTATGTACAATTTTTTGGATAGTTTTTAAAGTTCCAAACTATTACTCAATTCATCATTTCCTTTCTGCTTCAAGTGGTAATGATTTATAGATGATTTCATTTTAGGACTGGGAATGCAAATTTCAGAGAAAGAGACCAACGGTAAGATTTCTAAAGAAATGTGTTTCTACCAAGTAGAAAAAAAAAATAGTCAAAGCCGTGTGATTAATAGGGCCTAGAGGACCAGGGATATAGCTCAGCAGCACAACTGCCTGCCTGGTAAGCACAAGGTCTTGAGTTCAATTCCCAGTGCCAGGAAAAAAAAAAAATAGGGTCTAGAATCACACCACCCTTAAATGATTTAAAAATAAATGTGCTTATCTATCCACGACCATTATATTTAAGAAACCAATAGTTATTCATTATTTTGTCTCTGACAAATCAACTTACAAGTAAAATAATGCTTTGATAAGACAGAGTATATAGGAAGCATTAGATCAAGATTCAACTCCAGCTTCATGACTCACTTATGTGACCTTCAATATGTACTTAACCTTCCTCTGTTCCTAGTGAGTATACATAAAAATTGTCATGAAAATTAAAGGAGCTAAATACCAAGGACAGTGTTTGGCTTGCATGATGTATTCTTTCCCTTTTAAAATTCAGAGCCCCATTAGCCTGAACTATCATTTGGCATCTTTAACACCTTCATTGCTGGCCAGGTGCTTGGTGGCTTAAAACACTAGAGGTATATACATGACTGTCCCATTGGATTTTTATTAATTTTATTAATAAAAATACCCATAAAAGTGATTAAATTTGTACCACCAATGCTTCAAGCTGACAGGAATGTGTTGAAAGAAATTCTAATAAAACCTTTCCAGAATATTAAATTCAAAGAAGAGACCCAAATTCAATTCTCGTACCTGTGATTTTTAGTTGTGCAATGAATAGTTTAGTCATAAAAGAAAGAGGAACAGAATTTTTTGGTGGGCATTATAAATTTACAAGAATGTGACTTTTTATTTATTTGTTTTGAACGAAGGCTATTCAGAAAGAGGGGGGTGATCAATCGTATCATAGGCTAATAGGAAGATAAGGACCAAAAATGACCACTGGATTCAGAAAGTTACTGAGCTTGATCAGAACAATTTGGGTGAACTGAGAGAGAAAGCTTGCCTAAACTGAGTCTCAGAATTGGACAGCAGTTAGAGACAGTGAACAGAAAAAGGTTTTCTGAGAAATTTTGCTACAAGCAGAAAAGAGTAGAGATGCAAAGAGATGTGGGGATCAGAAAAAGTGGGAGGATCAATAGGTTGCAAGTCTGGTACAGTTAAAGAAATAAGAGTACTAGAGGGAACTGACTTGGAAAGAGGAGGCAGTGGTCAGAGTCAGAAGTCTGAAAATGAGATTTGAGATTCTGAGATGAAAGTTTTGGAAAGGGAACGTCTAGGTATGAGTATGTAAGTGGCTGGACATAGTATAGGACAAGCTCACTGGCACACAGGGACTGGGGAGGATGGGGTACTGAAAGACTGTCCACACAGACACCAAAATCACTAGGATTAGAGAGGAGAGCTACTAAACTGTAACAGGTAGCCTTCAAAGAAAAATGTTCAGCAAAGATTTGGGTATTTGTAGATGATGATAAAGAGGAGGGTTGGGGAGTGGTATAGTCTGACAATCTAAGATTCATAATTGGGAGTTTCTGTGGAAGAGGAAGAATTTCTCAAAGTGGCAATTAGCAACAAAACGTGAGTGGGGGAAGAAAAGGGGAATATTCAGAAAAGGGGCTGAAGGTACAGGGGTTCTGCTATTGTTATCTTACTGTGTTCTGAAGGCAGTGTGGGAAGGATTTTATGGGAGGACGTAGGAGATAAAATGTTGAAAGTCGATGAATAGAGACATAAGATAATGAGAGTCCAAAGGATGAGGGATGGCTTTAGAGTCTGTGGCTTTTTGGGGAACTGACAAACGGGAAAAGTAGGCATAAAAGTGCATAATGACAATGAGGGTCTCAAAGCAGAAAGAGCTGGTGATGGATGGAATCTTTTACAGAGACAGATTTAAACAGAAACAAAAAAATATTAAATTTCACATTTTCAGCAATTCCCTAATTTTGGCAATTACACAGAATAAAAATAAATTTTTGTAAAGCAATAAACTATACATTAAGAAATCTCAATGAGGTAAATGATTAATTACTTGTAAAGAGCATAAAGAGGAATTCTAGAAGGAAACCTGGACTTATGAAACCAATTTAATAAGGCACTTTCAGATTCTATTACAGAAAGGATAATGAGGGGGGACTGTTAGGAGGAAACCAGTTTCATTATACTGATTCTCTAAAAATTTTTCCCTGACTATATGGAGATGGGGTTAGGGTAAGGAATAAAAGCAATTTTTAGGAGTAAACAAGTGTGACGGCTGGAGGACAGGGAGACAGAACCCATCAGCTTAGTGCTCTATAACCAAACTGCTTCCTCCATTCCACTTCACTCTCCAGGTCCTTGGCTATCTCATGCCCCACGAGATCCTCAATAGTCTATGAAAATCACACTTTCTTGGAAAGACACACTTTACACAATAGGATGAATAGTTGTCTTTTAAAATAAAACTTCAGTTCCAAATGTAACACAGTAGTAAAGACAAACAGGTCATTATAAAATTGATGTTTAAATGTGATAAGCTGTTATTGTCTGAGATTAAGTGCATTCACAGATGATACCAATTTACTCTGAATAACAAGTTGCTATGAAGACGTAGTAAAGGCAGCAATGGTTAAATGTTTTTGAAGTCTAACATCTATAGAAATTTTCTAAATGGAGTACATTTATAACATTTCAACGAAGTAAAACCTAAACCACTCACCTCTGTGCTGAATCACCATATCAGTGCTTTCAAATACTTTGCAATTTTTGTGTTATTCCTTTTATTTTAGTCATCTCTTGTAACACCTTCATTTCAAATTACTTAATACTTTTCTTTAAACTGCCTTTAAGTCAACTACTTAAGTTCAGATAGATTTTGGTACTGGGACTTGAACACAGGACCTTGCCCTTGTCAGGCAGGTGCTGTGCCGCTGAGCTGTATCCCCGCCCCTTAACTTCATATAGTTTTTAGCCTGGTCTACTGGGGCCTAGTGCAGGAGCCTGATTCAAAAAATGGTCTCCTGTAATTTTTATTTAACATTCTTATCCATTCTTAATTCTCACTGTGGGGGATAGAAAAGCTCTCATGAAACATTAATAACCTAGTATTCAATTCTATTAAAATTCACTCAGTAAAGGATTTATAAAAGTGGGGTGTGTTGTGTATCTGATCTGGCAAAGTTTTGAATGCATGGAAAATATCAATAAACATAGCCCTCCTAAGCAGCAAAGGACAAGACTTAAAATACTATGAAAGAGAACAGTAACTGGTTGTGCGGGTGCCCACCTATAATCCCAGCACTCTGGGAGGCTGAGCCAGGAGGATTACAAATATAAGCCTAGCCTAAGCAATTTAGAGATTTAACAACACCTTGTTTCAAAATAAAAAATTTTCAAAAGGGCTGGGGACAGAGCTCAGTGTTAAGGCCCTGAGTTCAATCCTCAGTAGGGGTGGGAGGGAGGAGTTAAAGGGAGGGGAAGGGAAAGGGAGATACAACAGTTGACTAGTTTTGCCTTAGTTCTTATTTGCTTCTTACATACAAAATAGTTCTAGAAGGATCAGGTTAGACTAATACATATTTTCCATATTCTCTGCTACTGTGCTGTAAACGGGTTTGAATCTGTACCTGTGTAACAAATCTTTCTGAAGTGCTTGCCAAGCCAACTCTGATAACTGCACACCAGAGGTCTGCTTTAGCACCGGGAATTGGAGTCAGACACATGTTGGGCATATGCTGTTTGCTTCAGTAACTGCTGTGCTTGGCTAGATTTCGGAAAATGCTGGGTGTGAGTCTGGCAATTGATGGTGAATCCCTAAGAGAAGTTTTCACTAACTTTGTTCTGACATAAAATTATAAATTTATAAAGTTATGAATTAGCCTTTTTTTTAATATTAAAGATTGAACCAGGGGCCTCATGTGCAAAGCACTGTTTCTACCACTGGGCCCCTAGCCCCTCAGCCTCAGATTCTGGTATCTGATAAACTTTGAGATGAAAGAATCTTATTACATCCAAGTGCCTTGATTTTTCAGTTTACTGATGCTACACCTAAATGGCCACGGTAATAATCTGGTTTATTTACTTTTTTAGTATATGCGCTGCTGAAGCAAGCACATTTGCTTCTTTATTGTAGGCTCTGTGAAGTAAAAATTATAAAAAGCTATCATTCTGGAATAAGCTCCTGTAAGACCAGGCTAAAAATAAAAATGGAATTACTCATGCTAAAGTTCCAAGTCACTAAACTGAAACTAAGTTTACCTGACCTGTAGAGAAATGAGGATTAGGAAGATTATAGCCAAATTTCCCAAATACACCAGTTTCAATTGGCATGATAATGAAGTGGCCTGTCTTAATCCCTACATATAAATAACTTTGTGTTAACCAGTTGCTTTCTTTTTTAATGGCACTGTCTCCTTGTTCCCTTTATATATGAAAGTTCTTGACTAAGACAAAAAATTTATATGCTGAAGTTGCTAAGATTCACAGTAAGAATCTTCTATAATGAAATTATGAAGAAAAACCATTTTGTTACTTTTGCTGTTGTATCTGAAATTGCCAAAGTTATGGCCACAGAGCATGATAAATGGTTAGTTACAATGGACAAGGCATTAGTGTTTAGGTACTATTTGCAGTTTGGGGCATCTATGAGGATTAAGGGGGCAAGTACTGTACTCTAAACTGGCAGCCTTCTCACTACTCCACTAAAACAGCACTAAATAAATATCAATGGCCTCTAGTCTGCCTTCATCTCATTCCTACATCTCATCAGCACAACCAACTCACCTCTCTGAAACATATCCTGCCTTAAGATTCCCTCTTAGCTTACTAGCTATTTTCTTCTTCATTGCCTTTGTTGAGATTTCCTTTGCCCAAAGTCTAAATCTGCACTATCTGCAAGTTAGCCTACTAGTCATGTGTCATTGCAGAGCACTTGAAATGTGGTTAGTCTCGATGCAATGTGCTGTAAAAGTAAACTGCATTACATTTTTTTTGAAGACTAGTATATGTACGTTGGGTATCTTGAGCTAAATAACTGCATCTGTTTCATTTTACTTTTTAATGTGGCCAGCAGAAAATTTAAGGTTACATATATGGCTTGACTTCTATTTCTATTGGACCACACTGCTCTAAATGTTGGAGGTACCTTAGGGCTTGGCCTTCCTCCTTCTCCAGCCTTGCCATCACAGTAAACAGTACTGTCAGCCATGAAATGGATCATATTAGGGGCATAGGAAGGCAGGCAGTAGTATTTTCAGACAATGAGTGTGTCCACAGCACAGGATTCTAGATGAGAGAATTACTGATGTGGTTAACAATCAAGTGAAGACTAAGCAACATTGATTCAACAGTTTAAGTTTCAAACTAGGTGAAGACTAAACCTTATATATTACATCGCTTTGAGAAACTCAACTCTGTCCATTATAGTTTCTAGTTCTTCCTTTGAAAGCTATGGAAAGGAATTCAACAAACCTGCTCTAACTGGTCTGTCTCTGTTTCTCTTGGTAGGTACTGTACTGGGGATTGAACCTAGGACCACTAAGAAGCATGTTCAGCCTCCCCAACTCCCACTTTATACAATTCTGAGACAAGGTCTAAGTTGCCCAGGCAACCTCAAACTTGCAATCCTCCTCTCTGTGTTCTATCTTTCTCTAAAGACCAGTTTGTAGTGACGAAGATTCCTGCAAATTCCTGAACTCTTGCAGGTGCTAAAATTCCAGTCATCCTCTGATGGCTTGAGAATACAGCCCTGTTTCTCTGATGAGGAGTAATCTAACAAATATGCTACCAATGATCAAAAATCACTGGACACAGCCATGTGTGACAATATATGTGTAATCTAAGCTGTCTGGGAGGCTGAGGGAGAAGGATGCCCAGTTTGAGTACAGCTTAGACAACTCAGCAAAACCCTGTCTCAAAAAAGGTTGGTGATAAAGCCCATTGCTCTGACAGGTTGAATTCCCAGTACCGGAGAAAAAAAAAATGTTGGAAGTAATGACAACTACATCAATTCAAGAAACAGTGAAATCTGGCACCTCAAAGAAACAGCGACAAAATCTGTCCCACTAATTAAATAAGAAAATCAAAGCTTAAAAAGTTGAAAGACTTGACTTCATCCAGATCTTAGAACAAAATAGATAGGAAAGGTACATATGTAAATCAAGATTCAGTATGTACATTTAAAACCCAGAAAATATCAAAACTACTAACCATTCTATAAGCACTCCTTTCAAAACGTTGACCATCTTTTCCCAGTCAGAAGGTGCAGATGTCTTCAACAATACTAACAAGAGGATAAAAGTGACACAAAGTTCAAAAACATCAACTTCAATATACTTTTGGGATTTACCTCTGAAATGAGGCAAAATGGTGAATTAAATATCTATGAAAAGGACAGTTAATAAGAAAACACAGCATTTTCATATTTTAACAAAACTATAATGGCCTACTTGGAATATTAACAATGTATAAATACTACCTGTAAATAAACGCAATGAGTGCATCCCAATGAAAGCATAACTATGTATTATTAGTGTGCTCAAACCAAGTGCAAAAGTGGTCCGTTTTTCTAAAGGACTTCTTTCCCAGCCAGAGTGATAACAGGCAAAATCTTGGGAGTCAGAAATTGCAGTGCTCCAACCATCTCATTTTACAGATTAGGAGACGCAGTGAAGATATTTAGCTACAGTTCTTAAAAAAAAAAAAAAAAAATAGTGGGGCTGGGGATTTAGCTCAGCGGCAAAGCGCCTGCCTGGCAAGCGCAAGGTCGTGAGTTCGGTTCCCGGTACCGGAGAAAAAAACCAAAAAAAAAAGTGCAAAACAGATTCTAGATCTCATGTTTCTTAGCTAAATAAATCGCATTCCTCAAAAATATGCGCTGGAAGGACAAGGCCCAGCGTACCCCAAATTAACCCTTCTACCTTCACACCTGGGAGCGGAACAAGAAGCTCCCACGGGAAATTCACACTCTACCAGCGCAGGACAGCCTTCCAGCCCCGCCACGAGAGGCCCGGAGAGGTTGCGGGACACAGCCCCGTAACTCTGCAGCCGAAAAACAGGTTCTCAGCCTTTCCCTCTCTTACTCGGCTTTATTCCGGATCCCCCCTTTCCCCACGCACCCCACTTTCTCCCGTCACTCAGATCACCACACACCTCCACCCACACACGCAGGGCGCCTCCACGTCGCCGACGAAGTGCGCGTGCGCTTCACGCCGCCACGTCATGGACGCGTCGGCCAGGGGCGGGGCGCGGGCGGGGAGTGGGCGGGGCCGAGGGGCGGGCAGGGAGCTGGGCCGGGGCGGGGTCACGTGCACTGAGCGGCCGGCAGGAGTGCGGTTCCCGCTGCGGGCAGCAGAGAGGTGTGGGCGTTCCTGCTGGTGGGGTCCCCCGGGAGCAGTTGGGGGCAGGCCGAGTCGGTGCCCGGGCAGGTAGGAAGGAGAGAGCGCGGGGGCTGGCAAGGGAGTCGGAGCTCCTGAACGCGGCGGGGGAGTGGCGTGGGCGGTGACCTGGCCGCAGCGCTCCTGTGAGGCTGCGCGGTCCCCAGGGATCGGCAGACCGGCCGCGGGCTTGAGGACCTCTCCCCGGTCCCCCGGAACCTGGCTTTCCTTTCCGGTTCGCTGCGCTTGGCCCAGGCTAGAGCGCCTGCCGGGGGACGGATCGACCCGGCGGGGTGGTCACGGAGAGAGGAGGCGGAGACGGCCTCGTCCGCCACACCTGCGCCTGCTAGACCACAGCTTCTCGCTCGGTCCTGGCCCTGGCATTTGAGTAGATTGAGCGCTGAGGGGGTTTCTAAACCCAGAGATCACTTTACAGTGAGACTCTAGAAGATTCTAAGTTAATTTCTTTTCCCAAATTTTGCTCTCCAGTCAAATCGAGAACTCTGTTTTTACCACTTCAGGTGTTGCTTTCTGTTCCTTAGGTTGAACTGTACTTCCACAATTGTGCTCGTGTGACCCTCGCCTCCTTTTTTTTTTTTTTTTCTTTTTCTTTTTTTTCCTCTTCTGTCATACTAAGAATTGAACACTGGGCCAGGTTGGCCTAAATTTGCATTCCTCCTGCCTCAGCCTCCTAGATTGCTAGGATTACAAGTATGGGCCACCACACCTGCCTGTGTGAGCTCTTAGGAACCTAGCTTGTCCCTTTTCCTTTCCCTGGAATCTTGCTCCACTTGGTTTCCATATCCTTTCCCTCCTTTATTTATTTTTTATTTATTTATTTGTCTTTTTGAGACAGGATCTCGCTATGCAGTTCAGGCCGGTCTTGAACTCACTTTGTAGCCCCGGCTGGTCTCGAACTCGCAATGATCCTCCTGCCTCAGCCTCTGAGTGCTACGATTATAGGTGTTCACCACCACGCCGGGCTTCCCACTTTTAAAAGTTTGCCCCAAGTTCATTTATTCCCAGATACCTTTTCTTTCCTTTTTTCCTTCTTGCCTACATTGTCTTCCCTGAGAATCACTGTCATCTCGTGAGTTCCTTCACCTTGAACTGCCACTCCTGAGTGCCAGGTGCTGGGCTGATGCCTGCATATTAATGACCAGTGAGTAATCTTAGCTCCACCTCTCAAACTCATTTCATTTTCAGTTCTCATCCTCACTTCAAAACCTGCTTTTCTCCCCCCCATGTTTCTCAAGATCATCCAGATTTAAAGCCTCCACCCATTTATTCAGCAAACATTCTGTACACTTGATATGTGCCAGACGCTATTCTAGAGATTTGGGATGCAATGATGAACTAATTTTAGTGGGGGCGCAAGAGGCACTAAAACCAATTAACAAGAAAATACAAGATGTTGATGTAGTCATGAAAAGGATTATTTTGGTGAGAAGGTATCAGAAATGTCCTTCAGGCCAGTCATGGTGGTGAACGCCTATAATGCTAGCACTGTGGAGGGTGAGGCAGAAGGATTACTATGGGTTCAAGGCCAACCTGGGCTACAAAGTGAGTTCAAGGCCACCCTGAACTGTATAGTGAAGCCCTGTCTCAAAAAGATTTAAAAAAAAAAAATTGCCTTCAGTTCAGGAAGATTTCTGAATAAAAAGCTTCCATATACCAGCAGTAATTAACCAGAAATTTTAATAATAGATGCTGTTCATAATGGTGTTCAACACTAAAGATATCTAGAAGTGGGTCAGACTACAGCTGTGTAGTTCTATAGGGAGAAAGTTATGATGCTGGATTGAAATGCATAAAAGACTCAGTAAATGAAGAGATGTGTAATATTCATGGATGGAAAGACTCAATATCAGAAAAACGACATTTCTGCAATGTTGTAAATTTAGTGCAGTACCAATTAACATCACTATATGGTTTTTCCTATAACTTGACATATTAAACCAAAAATTTGTATGGAAGCTAGAGGGCAGCTGGGTGCAGTGGCACACGTTTATAATCCCAGTTACTCAGGATGCTGAGGCAGGACGCTTGTAAATTTGAGGCCAGCCTGGGAAACATAATAGGACTCTGGTGTTTTGGTTTTTTTGAGACAGGGTCTGGCTGTATAGTCCAAATTGGTCTTGAACTCACCTGGATCTCACAGCAGTCCTGCTTTAGCCTCTTGAGTGCTTCGATTACACGCATGTGCCACTATTCCTGGTGCTTGTTTTGTTTGTTTGTTTTGTTTTTTAAGGAAAGCCAAAGAACCAAGAATAGCTAAACCAGGATTTTGTTGTTTTCTTGACAGAGGATTTTGCTACATACTTCAGGGCTCACCTTGAACTCACTATATAGCCCAGACTAGCCTCAAACTCTGCAGCAGTCTTCCTGCTTTAGGTTCCCAAGTGCTAGGATTACAGGGGTGCACTGCCACACCTGGCAGCTAAATCAGTTTTGAAGAAGAAAAATACGATCCCTCCCTACCAAGTCTGAAAGCTTAATATAAAGGTGTAGTAGACAGTGTGGGTAGGCATGGCACCTACCTGTAAGCACAGCATTTGTGAGGCTGAGGCAGGAGTGTCATGAACTTGAGGCCAGCATGAGCTACACAGGGAAATCCTGTCTCAAAAAAAATATATATGGTATTTTTTTGGAGGGGGGCGGGAATCAAACTCATGACCTCAGGCTTGCAAGGCAAGCTCTTATGCTGCTGAGCTATATCCCCGGCCCCTTATTATGGTATTGATTCAGGGATAGAAAAATAGATTCATGGAACAGAGTAGAGTGTTTAGAAACATAGCCATGTACATATAGAAGCTTACTGTACCACTAAATAGTATCCAAAGCAAGGAGCAAAAATAGACTATTCAATAAATGATGCTGAGATGCACTGCATCCATTTGGAATAAAGACAGTTAGATTCCTATTGCATGTCAGTTACAACAATTTCCAAATGAATTACAGACTTTAATGTGAAAGATACATCTGCAAGATTTTTAGAAAAAAAATAAGTGACTTTATTATCTGTAGGAAAGATTTCTCTTTTGCTTACTTTGTTGTAGTAAAACATCCATAAGATTTGCCATTTAATCCCTTTACATATGTCATTCAGTGACATTCACACTATTATGCAACCCTCACTACCGTCCATCTCTAAAACTTTCTCATCTACCTAAGAAGGGTTTCTTAAGTTACAAAGAATAAGGATGCTGTTGGATTACTCCAAGTGAGAATAGTTGATGACTTGTTCTAGAGCGATAGCAGTGAAGATGGAGAAAACAAGGGCAATACCAAAGTGTTTTGCTGGAGTTCCAAGGTAGATCATTTACTGTTTATAATTATCTACCATTTGGTTGGTGGTGGTGGAGAAGATACATGTATTTCTTTTTGGGAGGGGATCCAGGAATGGAACTCAGGACCTTGCACTTGCCAGGCAGGCCAGGCAGGCACAAGCCACTGAGCTATATCCCCAGCCCTGGTGGAGAAGATAATTGGAAGAAAGATTATAGGAGAGAAAACGAGTTACATTTTGGACATTTAAGTTTAAAAGGTCTATCCTATTGTCTGTCCAGGTGGAAATGTTCTGTTTAAAAGGTAGAAGTTGAATAGATGAGTAGAATGGTTGTTACAGGTACTTTGGGACCACTGGGATATAGGCATTTACTACTCAGGTGAATCAGGGTTAGATTTTGCAGTATTACACAGGAAACATAAAATAGCAGTGGTTAAACAAGCATGTATTTACATAGATAAGCAGTAACATGGTATAACCGCAGCTCCATTATCAGGGACTTTGATTCTTCTCTCTTGCTGCTCTGCCATCCTTAGTATGATGATGATTCATGGTTAATATGACTCCTTTAATTCTACTATTACATACTCATTCTAGAAGGGGGAACAGGGAAGGATGAAGGTACATATGCTTCAAAGCTACTTCTGAGAGTTGTGCATGATATTTGCTTATATTCTACTAATCAGATCTTAGTCAATGACCACGCTTAACTAGAAGGAAAAAGGATAATGTAGTCTTTATCCAGGTTATACAGTCTTTATCCTGTATGCCCAGGTATAATTTAGGTTTTATTAGTAAGAATGGAAGGATGATCTGATCTGGGTGTAGTGGTGGACACTTTCAATCCTAGCTGCTGGGGAGGGTGAGGCTGGAGAATTGTGATATCCAGGCTAGCATGGGAAATTCAGCAAGACCCTCTTTCAAAATGAAAAATAAAAAGGGCGGGAGACATAGTTTAGTGGTGAATACCCCTGAGTTCAGTCCGCAGTACCACAAAAGAGGAAAAAAATGGAAGAGTAAAATGGTGATTAATTGAGTCTTTTTTTCAGTCAAGAGAATGAAACTACCTTATGAATGCTCTAGTAACCTTCCTATTACTACATTTAATGGAATTTTGAATATTTGTTTCGTTTTATAGTCATTTTCCTTTTTCCTTTGTCCTTTGTTTCCTCAGAGTTGTTCTATTCTCTACACAGATTTAATATAATCACAATCCTAATCCCCACAGCTCTTATTTATTTATTTATTTATTTTTATTTACAGAAACATTGTCTAGCTAGTAGTCCAAGCTGGCTTTGAACTTGCTATGTAGCCCAGGCTGGCATTGAACTTGCTATGTAGCCCGTTGAACTGCCTTAACCTCCTGAGCAGTAGCATCTCAGGTATGAAATGGGTGCTACCACACCCAGCTCTGAAAGCTCTTTTAAATATATATTGACAGGCTAACTCTAAAATTATGTGGAAATATCAAATATGTAGAATATTCTAGTCCATTTTAAAAGGGAAGAAAAAAACAAAAAAAACCTCGAAGAACAAAGCTGGAGATCTTACAGTACTATGTCGCTTCAACACTTAAAACTACAGTAATCAAGATAAATGTGGTACATATATATATATAAGTTATACAAATAGATCATTGTAAATATATAAGGATAGATTTTAGAACAAGTTGCAGAGTCACAAAATTTTACTGGAACTATTTGATATCCATATAGAAAAAAAATTTAATCTCAACTCCTTATTCTGGGACTGAGGATATAGC